GCTTGTTCATTTAAAAATTGGTAATATTACAACTGATTAGACCATATCAAGGGCTTACTAATCACATTTAATCCTCACAGATAAAAGTGTAAATGCAACCCAGCTGGCATAGCTCAGCAGATTGAGCATGGGTTGTGATCCAAAGGGTTGCTGGTTGAATTCCCAGTCAGGGCACATGCTTGGGTTGCAGACCATGTCCCCAGTGGGAGCCACGTGAGAAGCAACCACACATTGATATTTATCTCCCTCTCTTTCTCCCTCCCTTCCCTTCTCTCTAAAAATAAATAAATAAAATCTTTTTTTAAAAGAGTATAAATGCTAGTCTTATCAGCCCTGGCAGGTGTGCCTCAGTAGATTGAGTGCCAGCCTGCAAACCACAGTGTCACCTGTTTGATTCCCAGTCAGGGCTCATGCCTGGATGCAGGCCAGGTCCCTAGTTGGGGACATGCAAGAGGCAACCACATACTGATGTTTCTCTCTCTCTCCTTCTTCCTCCCTTCCCCTCTGTCTAAAAATAAATAAATAAAATGTCTTCTAAAAAAATGATACTCTTATCATCTCCATTTATCAATAGGAAAAAAACTGAGATGAGTAGAGGTGAATTAACATGCCCAGAATTGGTAGAAAGTAATGGTTTGGGAGAGAAGGCTCTGTCAGGCTGCATCTGGCAGAGAGGTGAGGTGGGCTGAGTGGTCAGCAGATCTGGGACAGGAGGCTGACCCTGGGCTCTGGGAGATGAAGGGGAAGCCCACCTCCAGCTGTCTGTCCAGCTGAGAACAGAGGAGTGAGTTTGTAATGCTGGGAAGCTCAGCTCACACTCAGTGAAGGGACATGCCCCACCCCTGCCCCTGCACTGCATGAGAAGATACTCACATCACACACCCAGGTGACTATTCCCATGACAGGGTCTTCATCATTTGTGACTTTTTGCCTCCCGTCTGTTTGCTTCCTGTGGAATTTCACTCTAAAGGAAGGTGTTAGGAGCCACAGTGACTCAGGCACAGGTGGGCAGGCTGCCCCTCAATCCCTGATAAGACAACTGATGCAATAAGACCCTGGGTCCAGACTCAGAGATCTTCCTGACATATAAGTGAGTGCTCCGTCCCCTGGATGACCAGGTGTTTGGCTGATACTAAACTTGCATCGTGATAGGCCCCTACACAGGGAGAAACTTATGCACAAGCAATTATAACAGTGCTATTCCTGAGAGCCCCAATGTAAAAACAACCCGACCGTCCATCAACGAGGAGACAAGTAAAATGTACCCCGTCCCTACAATCGAATAGTATTTGGAACAAAAAGGAATAAAAAAAATGACACATGAACCTTGAAATTATTGTGCTATGTGGAAAAAAAAGGTCAGTCACCATGCACCATGGATTATGGGATCCCTTTTATATGAAATGTCCAGAAAGGGGAAATCTAAAGAAACTAGACATAGATTAGTGGTTGCCTGCTGGCTGGGCTGAGGGTGGTGACAAAATGATGAATAGGGATGTTTTGTTTTGTTTTTGTTTTGTGCTAATGAAAAGTTTTAAAATTCATTATGCTGATGAGTGCACAACTCCATGACTCAAGTAAAAGCCATTGAATTTTACTTTAACTGTATGCAAATTTTATCTCAATAAAGCTGCTATCCTATCCACTCCCCCCCCAAAACGACCCCTCTGTATGGATTCAGCTCTGCCTTTCTGGGATTCAGGGGCCTCTCTCTGTGCTCCCCATGACACAGCTCCCTGTACCTCCCCAGGATACGGGCTTACATGTAAAAGAAGATGAGATACAAGCACAGGGATACTAGGGCCATGGCACCAGTACCTCCAAGAGCTGCAGGAACTACTCTGGAAGCAGATACCGACTTCTCTGCAGAGAAGAGAGCTGTGAGCCCACCCACTCCCAGGACTCAGTGTCTGGTCTTCCCAAACCTTGCACAACTGGCAGTAGGTTCTGTTCAGACACCAGACAGAAGATCCCATCCTAACAACACCCTTCCCAGCCATAACCCCTCTCCCCACCTCCATCCTCCCTTTGATCCCTTCCTTTCTCCCTCAGCCTCCACCCCCAGAAGGCCTCTGACCTGCCAGGAGCAGCAGGACACTGGCGCTCTGGGCCCCGTGGATGTTCTTCACCTCACAGCTGAGCCTGAGGCCTTTGTTGAGCCCCACACAGAGGCTCAGGGAGCTGTTGGCCCAGGACCCCTCAGAGTAGGAGGTGATGGTGTCGGAGGCATCGGAGGCATCGCTGCTGTTCTCCTCCAGCAGCCCCTCTCCCAGCCACCAGCGAAGCAAGGGGGCTGGCTGGGCTTGGGAGGAGCAGCTGCAGTGCAGAACCTGGTCCTCCCAGGAGCAGGAGGGCCCCAGAAGCTGTGGGGGGTCTGTGGGGAGCCAGGAGAAGGATCAGTGGTGCCTCTGCCCTCCCAGGACCCAGATGCCCTGCCACCAGGGATCCCCACACTCACAGACCACAGAGAGGCTGAGAGAGATATTTTTGGAGCCCAGAGGGTGCTGAGCTTGGCAGGTGAACTGTCCTTCTTCCCCAGTCCCCATACGGGGCAGCTCCAAGATCGCTGTGCTGGAGACGGGGGTGGCGTTCGGGGCTGAGGACCCCTGGAACCAGCTCAACTGTGCAGGGGGGTTGCTGTCAGCCACACAGAGCAGCTGCAGAGCCTACCCTCCAGGATGGGAAGGGATGAGGTATTTTGCAGAATCTCGAATGCTTTGGGGAGAGAAGTGGAGAGAAAGAGGGAGAGAGAGAGAGAGAGAGAGAGAGAGAGAGAGAGAGAGAGAGAGAGAGAACACAGAAACAGGCACCACCAACAAGAGGTGAGGGAAGGAGAACGATGATTTCCCTCCTTGCCTCTACCATATCTGGTCTCATTCACACAGTGATTCCCCCTCAGCTCCATGGTGGCCCCATCGCAGGTCTCAACCCCAGAGATGGAAGCTATTTCCTACCTGTGACATTATTGCAGGACATGCCTATGGTCAGGTTCTGTGGAGCATCTAGAAAAGAAAGATATGGCCCCACTTCAGAGGGGAGGAGCAGAGGGAAGTCACCTTGAACCCAAGGAGGTAGGGTGGTAACAAGGAAGATGAGATTGATGTCCTTCTGGATCTTTCCCCTCCTGCATTCAGAAGTATGCACAAGTGTTCTCAAGTAAGCTCAGCCTCCTCTACACACACACACATACACTACACACAAATCCACAAAGGCTTGAGTGTGCCAGTCCCTCTGCCCCCAGGACACCAGCTGTCCTTCCAACACTCACAGGACACATTGAGTCGAATGGTTTCCTGTGTGGTCACCTCAGGTCCTGCAAGTGTCACCAGACAGGTGACTGTGGTGCCATGGTCCCTGGGCTTCAGAGTGAAGGTGAGCACAGAGGAGCGAAGGGTCTGGGGATTCAGAGAGTTGAGAGCACTCCCCGCCCCATGAGTAGATGAGAGGACATGCCCCTTTGCAGGACCCTGGCAGGCTGCAGCTCAGCTGTGTGGGGCAGCCAGACTCCAGAGGCCCCTGAATGTGGATGTCAGATTTCTGTGTCAGGTCTGCAGAGGAGAGAGCGAGGTGCCTGGGACCTGGGGCTGCAATAGGGACCCAGAATGTGACCCCACCTGGGACCCATGGCTGAGGGCCTGAGCTCACGCCAGGTCCTGTGTCTCTTCTAACACCCTGAGCCCAAGGCTAGGATCAAGTAGTGTCCCAAGGTCCAGTTCCTGTTCTAAGCTGGGTCCCATGTTTCAACATCCTCTCCTGAGCCCCTGCCATACCTTTCACTTGCACAGTCAGCTTCTTATCTTGGTAAGTACATTCCTCATAATATCCAGTCTCCACTTGGAAGACGAAGCTTTCTGTGTCACTCTTCCTGGCATCTCTGATGCTCAGGGAACAGTCGTTGGTCCTGGAGTATGTGAGGAGGAATCGGCCCTCAGTCTGTTTCTTCACTTGTTTATATTGGTTGTTTTTAGCCACAGGATCAGTGTAGTCTTTGTGGTTCTCACTCTGGTACCAAGAGGTGTAGAGTTCATTAAAGGAAAGCCACGAACTCCACTGGTAGGAAAAGGAGCAGGGCACATGGACACACAAACCCTCCTGCACCCTCACGGATTCCTGCACTTGGAGCTCATAGCCTTCCTTCTTCTGCAGGGACTCTGGGGGTGGGTGGGGGGAGACACAGAAGCTCAGCTGCAGCCCCAGCCACTTCCCCCTGCCCATCCCCCTTCCCAGGCCCACTCACTCCCCCAAAGCAGGGGCAGCAGCAGCAGGGGCACCATGTCTGTTTATCACAGGGCAGAGCTGTCACAGTCCCTGTGTCAGGGAGGGAAATAGGGAGCTGTGGTGTGGGGCTGAGTAGCCCCAACAGGAAGCTGTGGTTGACAGAGCTGTAACAAGGCCTGGAGGGGAACTTGGACTCCATGGGCTGTGGGGGTGTGTTGAGGGCTGAGAAATCATCCTGTCTTACATCCCCAAACCCATCCTTGCAGGTGGATGTGCCGAGGCCCCCAATGGTTGAGAGGCTCACCCAGATGTGAATCTGAAAGTGATCACCTTGCACATGATCTTTAAGTGGAGAGGGAGGTCATTCAGGGATCATAGAGGTCAAGCTGTTGTGTTGACTCAGGGGACCCATGCTCCAGCTGAAACCATTGCATATTTTTAAAAAGATAATAAAAAAATTTTTAGAGGGTTCAAGTGCTAGCAAGAGAGGAAAGAATTTAGACCCAACCACAATGGAGGGTGGAGCCCAGGCAAAACCTGAGCATTAAAGCCCTTTATTGTACAAGTTGTCAGGACATGGGATGCCCACATGTTCCTCTTCAAGGGTCTGAGGGTCTGTGGGATGGCAATGGCACATGGGCTCCCCTAAAATGGGACATATGCTAGGAGATCTTGCCCCATTTGGTGGGGACCCCAGAGGCTGGCCCTCAGCACAGCACCAAATTTGCCACAGTAAAGCTCATGAAACTCCTTCCTCAAGCCCCTTACATGCTCAAACCCTTTTCAAAGCTCCAGCAAAGGGTGGGGTGATATGCAGAAATAATCTGCAATCCTATGCTCTTTTATGATAGAAAAAAACTTAAAAACATTTTCCCAAACATGACAATGAGGTGCAATAGGTCAGATATTCCAGGAACAAGTTGTTTGATTAAAACAAAGATTCTTCAACTGTACAGGATAAAAAGAAATCTCAGTCACCTGTACTGAGGAAATACTGAATTCTCTTCTATTCTTTATATTATATAAATATAATATTAATATTTATTATTATATGACAGAATTATTCTCCTATAAAGAGGCAACAGCCCAGCTGGTGTAGCTCAGTGAATTGAGCACAGGACTGAGAACCAAAAGGTCACTGGTTCATTTCCCAGTCAGGGCACATGCTTGAGTTGCAGGCCAGGTCCCCAGCAGGGAGTGCATGGGAGGCAACCACCATTAATGTTTCTCTCCCTCTCTTTTCCCTCCCTTCCCCCTCTTTAAAAATAAATAAAATCTTAAAAAAAAGAGGCAACAAAAGTGTAATCAAAAAAGGTAGAGAACATGTTATGCAGGTGTGCCAGACAAGAATCCGTACTACTAATAAAAATAGTCTCTAATTTTTGGAATTGTCCTATATTTTGGTTTTCAGCATTTATCTGTTCTTGCTTGATGTGATGTGTTTTTTTACTTCTGAAAAGTTGATAGGTGTCACTCATTGCTTCTTTTTCAAAGCAGTGATCTCAACATTAGCATAAATATCAGACTCCACTCAACCTGGGGCTGCCACTGCCACAGGGAACATGTGACCCAGAAGTAACCAACTCTACCCCGACCCACCCCAGACTCCTCATGTACTACAAACAAGACTGTCTTGTTCAAGCAAAGGACTAAAGGAAGCAGAATTTCCTTGGTTGTGCCCTCATAATTCACATCACTGAGAGGCCTAGCAAACTGCAAGTTGGATTATAAAAATGACGCGAAATAAGTGTTGGCAAGAATATTCACAGAGGGGAACCCCCCTGCACTGTTCCTAGAAATGTAAATTGGGGACCACAGTGTAAATCAGTAGGGCAGGTCCTCAATAATTAATAATAGAGCTTCCATATGATCCAGCAATTCCACTTCCTATTTAGAGGAAATGAAAATACTAACTTAAAAAGACATATATACTTCTACATTCATTGCAGCATCATTTACAGTAGCCAAGATGTGGAAGAAACATCTCGTCCACCAATAAATGATGAAGAAAAAGTGGTACACATACAGTGGGGTGTTATTGTGCCATAAAAAAGTAAGAACCCCTGCCATTTGCAACTATTGTACATGGATGGAACATGAGTGCATTTTATTAAGTATAGTAAGTGGAAACAGACAAATACTGCATGACTTCATGATCATGTGGAAACTTTTAAAAAATAAAAAATATTCCATCTCATAGACAGAATAAATGGGTGGTTGCCAGAGGCAGAAGAAGGAGGTTGGGCAAAAGTAGGAGAAGGTGGTCAAAGGTACAAACTTCTACTTATAAAACAATTACATCATAAAGATGTATTCTCCAGATGGTGACTGTAGTTAATAATTGTGGGTATTAGTATTATACTATTAACTGTAGTAATGTGCTTAATAATACTGTGCCAGATGTTTTAAAATTACTGAGAGTGTACATTGCTAAAAGATAAAATTGTTGAAAGTTCTCATTACAAGAAAAAACGTGTAGAAAGTCTATGTGGTGATGGGTGTTAACAAGATATGTGGTGAGCACTTTGGAATATACACATATATCGAATCATGAAGTTACATGTCAATTATATCTCAAAAATATATATGTACTAAAAACCTCAGGCTGAGTGCTTGGGTTAGAGTAGAAGGTCCAGGTCTTCCAGGCAGAGTTCCACTTCTGCTCCATGTGTGCTCCCACATCGGCATAACAGATTCCTCACATTGAATTCCTGCTGCTGAAATCCATAATGAGGCTTATGTGTTCCTGTTCTGCCCTTGACTGATTAACTCTCAAGAAATAAAACAGTGAACAGTGGGTGATTTCAAATGCCTTCATGATAAAACTCACAGCCAACCAGGAATAAAGGAGAATTTCCCTGATGAGATAGGGGTGTCTTCAGCAGCTTCATACGTAATGCAGTATCATCGGGTTCTAGTCTAGAAAGGGTATATGAAGTGCAAAAAGAAGACAAAACTGTCTGTCTTCATAGATGATTTTATATATAGGAAAATCCACAAATATCCATAGATACATTGGGGGGGTTAATAAGAGAGTTAGCAAGGTTACTAGAGACAAAATCAAATTACAACAAATGCATTCCTCTATCAGAGTAATAAAAGGTAGGATATTATCAAGATGCCATTGACAATAGCATCAAAAATTATGATACACCTGGCTGTGGCTGGTGTGGCTCAGTGGACTGAGTGCTGGCCTTGAACCAAGCAGTCGCTTGTTTGATTCCCATTCAGCGCACATGCCTAGGTTGTGGGCCAGGTCCCCAGTTGAGAGCATGTGACAGGCAACCACACATTGATGTTTCTCTCCCTCTCCTTCTCTCTCACTCCCCCTCGCTCTGAAAATAAATAAATAAAATTATTTTTAAAAACTAAGATACACCTGAAATATATCTATTCAGATATGTACATAATAGAAATATAAGCTGCACTTTTTCAGTGGACAAGATTATAAATCTCTTTGGAAGGACATTAAAGATGTTAATAAATAAAGAAATATGCATGTTGATGGATATTAAAACAATATTGTGTAAAAGTTCACTCTACCCAAATTAATCTGCAGAATTAAAGCAATGTGTTACCCAATCTCCCAGTAGACTTCTGTAAAACTTGATACCTCTATTGTAAAATATATATTAAAATAAATTTTTCCAGAAGCAGTCAAGACAAACATGGAGAAGAACAATGTACGAGGACTGGCTCCTTAGGGCTTCAAGACATAGTAAAAGTGTCACAGAAAATATGATGGTGTGGCATTTACTGACATGCATGGTACCACCAGACCACTGGAACAGAACAGGGCAGCTAGAAATAGCAAAGACCAAAACCACAGGAAATGTCATGTGTGTTAGAGGAGGTGATGCAGAAAAGTGACAAAAAGAGAAACTTCTCCTTAGAATTTTTTTTATTTCTGGTCTGATTTTTTATCTGCTCTTTATTGTATTTTTCCATTATAATTTAGTCTCCTTTTACCCCCTCCTCCGAGCAATCACCACACTGTTGTCCATGCCCATGAGTCCTTTTTCTGTTTCGTTCATTCCCCAACCGCCTCACCCCTGCCCATTAGCTGTCATCCTGCTTAGAGAGAGAGGAAGGGAAACAGAGAGAGAGAAAGAGAAATATCAATTTTGTAGTTTCTCTTATTGATGCATTAATTGGTTGATTCTTGCATGTGTCCTGCCTGAGGATCAAACCCTGAACCTTGGCTTGTGGGAACAACGCTCTAACCAACAGTCACTGTCCAGGGACAATAAACATTTCAATAATACATGTGGGCAACTAGTGATCCAAATGCACTCAAATGAGATTGTATGCTTAGCTCTTACAATGCATGAACATCAAGGGCAGATGAGTTGAGGATCTGCTGTTTTAGGAGAAACAAGACAATGGAGAGGATGGAAGATAATATAGCAGAATGTCTCCATAAACTTAAGGGAAAGAAGGTTTCATAACAAGATATAAATAGAAATATTTATAAAAAGAAACATTGAAAAGTTGGACAAGGCTACAATTAAGGACTCTTATAGATACACTAAATCATCAGCCATCAAGTGACAAATGAGGTTTACAACACATGTAAACATCAAAGTATCAGCCTCCAGAATAAGGAGGTATTTCTAAAAGTACATGAGAAAAAGAAAACACAGGAAAATGGGCTCACTTGAGCTGCCCCTCTAAAAGATAGCAAACAACCAGCTGGTAAACAAATGAAAAGCAGCCCCAGGTTATTAGCAGCCAGGAAAGTGCACCTTCAAACCACAATAAGACACTGTTATACTGGCTCCAAGTGCACAAATGTTAAAATGTGTGAAAACCCCCGTGTTCATGACAGTGTGGGGCAACAGTTGCTGACATATAAACTGGTGCCAGTGCTGCAGAGAATACGAGCATCATTTACTGAAATGAGGGTGGCTTACACCACGCCAACAATTCCCTCCCCCACTTCTGACCCAGAACAGCATCAACCTACAGGACAGCCCATGGCCACCGTGTCAGGTGACCACATGAAGGGTGTCTATAAGGATGTGAGCTGTAAGGGACAGATGATGGGTGATGAAAGTAAAACACGCACTTGAATCAGAAGTCTTACTACAAGAAAAGGAATGTAAATTATCTGTTTTTGTGTTCTGAGATCAATTTCAATGGAGGTGAAAGTGGGGAGTTTCTCCCACACCACCAAGTAATTCAACCCAATTCTGACACTGTGTACCTGGAGAGAGCATCAGATTCCACAACTAAAGATTCAGTTCGTAACCTGTCCCCCCATATCCCATGAAAGATGACAGTCTCAAGTCCAGGTTGTCATCTGCACTTCTGAACAACCAGCTATAAATCAGAGGTTCCCAAGACCTCTTCCTCTTTGTATTTATCAACATAATACAGGAGCTCACAGAACTCAGAGCACATACTACTCGCTAGATCATAGGTTTATAGTAAAAGAATATGACTCAGGGACAGCCAGATGGAAGAGGTACAGAGGGCCGAGTGTGCAGTAAGGGGTGTGGAGCTTCCATGGCCTCTCTGAAGTGCCCTCTCTCCCAGCACCTACATCTGTTCACCAACCTGAAGCTCCCAAACCGTGTCCTTTGGGGTTTCTATGGAGGCCTCATGACATAGTCATGATTAATTAAATCACAGTCCATTGGTGATTGATTCCACAGGTCCCCTCCCCATCCCGTTTCCCTCTGGCCTTCACGCTACCCAACACAGGAGGAACCTCTCACACTGGAGACTGCAGACCTGGCCCCAACACAGCCTCATCCCCTAGGCCCATCCTCTGTCCTGTGGGTCAGGTGTGAGGGACAGATGAGGTGGTGAGAGGAGAGAAAGTTGACTGCAGCCACAGGTATGGACGAGGGCAAAAGAGGAAATTTCCCATAACCTGCACCAGGCAAGGTGGGCCTCAGGGTAGAGAGAAGGCCAGGCTGACCCACCTCAGAGCACAATGACTATCTTAATACAATGCACGGTAATGAATTAGGGAAAAGGCATAACCACTATCTCATTCAAGAGAGGCCACTGAATTCACCTCAGAGAAAGGAGGGTCAGTTTCTGTGTGTCAGTTTCTGTGTGTGTGTGTGTGTGTGTGTGTGTGTGTGTGTGAGAGAGAGAGAGAGAGAGAGAGAGAGAGAGAGAGAGAGAGTGTCTGTTTTATTCCAAATAAACTAATGAACAAAATTTTATGGGGGTTATATTCACATGGTATAAAATCACTAATGCTAATTTTGGATGTGCAAACATTGAAGCTGTTTATCACTACACGTCCCCATGATTTTCTTTTCTGCAGGCTTACTGTGCTCCTTTGTCTTGCTTTATAGGAATCTCATATGGAGGATTTGGAATGATTGATGCACTGATGCATCAAGCAAAAAATCCTACAGGCCAAAGGGTGTCTCTTTAGTATTTAAATTTTATTTTTCAATTACAGTTTACATTCCATATTATTTTGTATTAGTTTCAGGTGTACAACATGGTGGTCAGACAATCAAATACATTACGAAATGATCCCCTTGATATTTCCAGTGCCTACCAGGACCATATGTACTTATTACATTATTATTGTCTATATTCTCTATGCTGCACTTTACATCCTGGGTTGTCTGTTTGACTCAACTTCTCAGCAAAGGTCTGGCTCATTCCAATCCTGAATGGAAAACCAAGGCCAGTAAAACCCTCGGCCCAACTTGGTGTAATTTGTATTTTCATGTTCCGGAAAATTTCACATGACTCTGGTCCCTTACTTTGACATTCAAGAGATGCTAGTCCTTGGGGAGCAGGGGAGGATTGGATAATCCTTCAGGAGCTAAAATAGACTCAGATCCTGTTTTGTACATTTCGGATCTAGACTGTGAAACCCGCTAGAGAAGAGAGATGCATTCATTGCAAACATTCATAACAGGTTTGTTCCAGAACTGTTAACTTATTTATCTTCATTCTCAGAATCACATAATTTGGCTCAAGAAACTTTATATTGTATAACTTAATAAAATTTTTATTTATAATTAAATAGTAATCATAACAAGGTTGGCATCTTTGAATTGAAAGGCAGAGCTGTGCTCCCAACTCAACCACACACAGACATCTACATGGACGGTGCTGTTTGGGAGACAAGAAACTCAGGTGCTAACCAGGCATCTTTTGGGCAATGGGAGGGTAAGGCCCCAAGTTCATCCCCTTCCTGGGTCTGGGGATGGAAACAGAGGAGCAGTGGGTGGGGAGACAGAGAGGACAACTTGAGTGGGAGAGATACAGGCAACAGCAAAGGGGCAGTCAGTTGGTGTGCATCACTTCTTGTTTATATTCTGCATCTTACATGTTTTAACATCTTAAAATCCTTGCTAAACAAGGAGAGACACCCCCTCCCAGAACAACCAATTCTCAGAGACAGGAAAGATCTCTGCCACGAACAGCCTATCAGGTGCAAACCACCTAATCCTGAGCCCATATTTCTAATCACCCCAACCTTCCCTCAATCACCCAGGACCTGGGACCAGAGAAATACAGACTAGCCCACAGGAAGAAAGAAAACCCTCATTATTTCATATTAGCTGATCCTCAACTGTTCACCCTGCCCTGACTTGCATTTCCCATGGAAACCCCAATAAGACTCTGACTAGTCTGACCCCCATTTCCATCTGCTCTCTGATGAAACGTGGTGCTTCCCCCAGGGCCCTGCCTGGCCTTGCGGGGCCTCCTCTCAGTAAATGAAAGGAATAAAAACGTTTTTTCATTGGTGTTGACTCTCCTTGTCATCCTCAGTCACTCAAATTAAAACCCCAAGGGTACAATTGAGACAGGTGAGTCAGGAGTTCCCAGGGAGAAGGTGACACTGATGTCCCATGACCACCCCTCTGGACTCCATGTCTCACCTCAGTGCCATATTCACAAGAAGGGAGAGTCAGTCAGGATGTCAGCCTCATTTTCTGGGGGTTTCCACACCTGCGGAGCCAACACAGCTCTCAGCTCAGGGACTCAAACCCTTTAGCTCCAACTGCAGGCAGGTGGGACTACTCAGCCCCACCTGGAACTCAGGGCCAATCACTGACCTTCCCAGTAGAGAGACAGAGCTGCTCGCCTGGTGTAGTAGAGCCATGTGAGGCCATAGGTGAGGAGGAAGCCAGCCCCCATGAGGCACCCCCTGATCAGAGTGAGGACCAGGGGCCAGGAGCCCTGCTGCTCCTGAGTCACACATTTGCAGGAACAGGGAGGTCCTGGGGAAAAGGAGAGGGTGTGAAGTTGTAACTCCAGATCTCAGTCTGCCCACAGCCCCAACACCTGACTTGGCTCCCCACCCCTAGTACTTATCCTGCAACTCACTCTGCACAGAGAGGCTGAAGGAAACATGTTTGGAGCTCAGTGGGGCCTGAGCCTGGCAGGTGCACTGTCCCTCTTCCACAGTCTTCACATGAGGCAGCTCCAGGATCCTGCTGCTGGAGATCAGGGGCAGGGTGGGGGTGGGGGGATGTTCAGGACTGGAGAACTCCAGAATCAGCTCAGCACTGCAGGGAGGGGGTTGAGTGAGGGGGTTGCTGTTAGCCATGCACAACAGGCACAGAGCCTTGCCCTCCAGGATGGGATGGAATATGATTTGCACAATCTTGAGTGCTTTGGGGACGGAAGTGGAGAGAGAGAGAGAGAGAGAGAGAGAGAAAGAGAGACAGAGAGACAGAGACAGAGAGAACACACAGGGCAGGCATCCACCCACAAGAGGTGAGGGAGGGAACGTGATGATTTTCCTCCTTGCCTCTCCCATATCTGATACCATTCACACTCTGATTCCCCCTCTGCTCCATGGTGACCCCAGGGTCAGGTTCAAGCCCCAGCATCAGGGGCATCATGTCTGCCCTTGACAGGGCGAGAGGGTTTATGTTCCTGTGTCAGGCAGGAAAATGCCCAGCTATGGGATGGAGCTGAGGACATCCCAAGAGAAAGCCGTGGGTGACAGACCTGTGACCCTTCCTGAAAGGGGAACTTGGGCTCCACAGGCCATGGGGGGTGGGGGTGGCAGCTGAGAAATCATCCTGTGAACTTCAGCCCTTTACCATACCCTCCAAGTGAATGTGCCCAGGCTCCCAGGAGTTGAGAGGCTGGTCCAGATGTGAATGTGAAAGCAATCATCTTGCAGACGATGTTTAAGTCGAGAGGGGGGTCTCCCAGGGGTCATTGTGGGCAGAACTGTTCAGGGAGGACCCAACCTCCAGCTGAAGCCACTGAACCTCCCAGAAGAGGATACTTTTAAATTTCCTCTAGACCACCAAGTGCTGGTAGGAGAGGAAGGAATTTAGACCCAACTCCAGTGGAAGGTGGAACCCAGGGGAAAGCTGGGTGTTAAAGCGCTTTGTTCTGTGGGGACATGGGATGCACAAGTCATGGTCTTCCAGGGTCTGAGGGTCTGTGGGACAATGACAGTACACAGGTCTCCTCAAAGTGGGGTGTGTGCTGAGAGATCCTGCTCCATTCAGTGGAGACCCCAAAGGCTGGCCCACAGCACAGCAGCAAATGTGCCACCTTAAAGCTGAGGAAGCTCCATCCCCAGTGCCCCTCATGTGCTCAGTCCCTTCTCAAAGCCCCAGCAAGGGCTCCAGGGATGTGTGGAAATAACCTGCAATCCTGCTGCTCTTTTATAAAAGAAACACTTGATAAACTTTTCCCCAAATATGATAATGATGTGTAACAGTTCACACATCCCAGTAACAAATTGTGTGATTTAAAAACTTTTTTAAACTACATAGGAGAAAAAGAAATGTCAATCATTAGTGCCAAGGGAAATACTGAATTCTCTTTCTATTTACTATGATACATAAATATCATATTACAACAACTAATGATGTGTATTAAGCTAATATTAATATTGATTACTATATGACAGAATTATTTTCCTATAAATTAGCAATCAAAGAGTTTGAATAAAAAATGTTTGAATAACCCTGGCTGGCGTAGCTCAGTGGATTGAGCTCGGGCTGCAAACCAAAGTGTTGCAGGTTTGATTCCCAGTCAGGGTACATGCCTGGGTTGTAGGCCATGACTCCCAGCAACCGCACATTGATGTTTCTCTCTATTTCTCCCTCCCTTCCCTCTCTAAAAATAAATAAATAAAATCTTTTTTAAAAAACTTCTTAAAAAATGTTTGAATAAAAATGTTTCAGGCAGGTGTGCCAGAGAGGAACACCACACTACTAATGGTAATAGTCTATAATTTTAAAACTGGCTTATGTTTTGACTTTCTGCTTTTTAACATTTTTCAACTGATATTATGTGTTTTTTCATTTCAGAAAAATTCATAGGTGCCACATGTTGCTTTTTTATTTTGAAGCAGTGATCTCAACATCAGTATAAATATCAAGCTTCACAAAATTGGATCTGCCCCTGCCATAGGGAACATGTGAAGCAGAGGTAACCAGCTCTACTCCCCGCCCACCCCAGACTCCCCACACATTGCAAAGAAGACTGTCTTGTACAAGCAAAGGACTAAAGGAAGCAGGATTTCTGTGGTTGTTCTCCCCACAATTCACATCCCCAAGCAGTCTAGAAGATCTCAAGAAATAGTAAGTGTTGGCAAGAATGTCCTAAAGGGGAACCCTCTTGCAATGTAGCTGAGAATGTGAGTTGGGGCAGCAGCTATGTAAATCATTATGGCAGTTCTTCAAAAATTAAAAACGGAGCTCTGATAACATCCAGCAATGCCACTTCTGTGCATTTATTTGGAAGAAATGAAAACATTAACATATGCACCCCTACATTCACTGCAGAATCACTTATAATAGCCAAGATGTAGAAGCAATCTAAGTGTCCATTTATAAATGAATGGATGGAGAAAATGTGGTGTATACAAATGGAATACTAGTCTGCCAAAAAAAACTAGGAAATCCTGCCTTTGTGGCAACATGGATGGATCATGATGGCATTATGCTAAGTGAGGTATCAGACAGAGAAAGACAAATACCATATAGTTTCAAATATATGTAAAAACATTGTTAAAATTCAAACTCATGGATACAAACAACAGATTGGTAGTGGCCAGAGGCTGAGGGTGCGGGCAGGGCAAAAGGGATGAGGGTGGTGAAAAGTACAAACTTACAGTTATAAGATAATTAAAGCATGAGGGTGTAATGTACAGCATGGTGACTATAGTTAATAATAGTGGGTATTAACTGTAATACTATAGTTAATAATACCATGTTATATATTTAAAAGTTGCTAAGAGAGCATATTGCTAAGAGAAAAATGTTGAAATTATCATTACAAAAAATGTGTAACTATCTGGTGATGGATATTTGACAAGACATATTGTAGTAAGCACGTCACTGTACAGATGTGTGTCTACATATATATCGTAGTTATATGTTAATTATATATATATATATATAGAACATTGAGGCTGGGTACATAGATTAGATTAGAAGACAGAGTTCCGTTCTGGCTCCATGTGTGCTCCAACATCAGCATAACAAATTCCTCATGTTGAATTCCTGCTGCTGAAATCCATAGCGGGGCTTCTGTGTTCCTGGTTTGCTTTTGGCTGATTAACTCTCAAGAGATAAAACAAAGAGCAGTGGGTGATTTGAAGTGCCTTTGTGATAAAACTCACAGTCAACTAGGAATGAAGGATGATTTCCCTAACGAGATAGAGGGTGTCTTCAGCAAACATCACACCTAAGCAGTAGCATCAGGTCTTAGTCTAGAAAAACAATAACCATAGGCATAGGCTATGAAAAATGAAAAGAAAACAAAGCTATTTGGATACATCTAGATATTAAGTGATACCTGATACATTGGGGTATCAGATCGACTGTCATGTAACACATGCCTGTGTACATGTCACCCTTATAGCAGTCTCATGTTTCATCATCTACATCATACACCTCCTTGTATCTCATCACAGAGGCATGGTGACTTCTCACACTAACACAGGAAGAAGGGTGAGTACACAAAAAGAAGATATTTCAAGGGAAGGACAGAACACATTCACATAACTTTCATCAGAGTATATTGTTATAATTCTTCTGTTTTATTACTTACTCTTGTTCATCTTTTATTGTACCTACTTCACCAATTAAACTTTATCATAGTTGTGTATAGAAAAAGTCATAATATATATAAGATTCAGTACTAACTGTGGTTTCAGGCAAAACTGGGGATCTTGAAATATCTCCCCCACACATAAGGAAGACTACTGTCCTCACAATCAGAGAGATTACTGTTAGGCACATACACTCTGGTACCTTTCATGACATTCTGCCTGTTTTTGTTTTAGACTTTTCTTTTGAAAAAATTAAATGAAACGAACTATATAGAGGAGGGAGACTATGAGCTCTTTCTTCATTTCACTCTCTCAATACATATCTGTGCAAGAAGTCAGGTTTGAAGGACAGGAGGGGTACATGAAGCAAGGGGTGCACAGAGTGAAGCCAGAGAGTGTGGCCTCCTGGAGGGGGACCTCAATTAGCTAAGACTTTTGCAGGAAACACTATACAATGTTTAAGGAACATAGGGCATGAAGAGAAGCTGGGTGAGGAGGTGAATGCTAGGGGGGAAGGTTTGGGATGTGCTGTCTATGACAAGATAGTCAGGAAGGGGTGTGCAAAGGACAGAGGTGGGGTCAACTCCCTAGCACACCCAGTTTTACCCTGAAGAATTAATCTGGTGAAGAATTGGGGGGCCTGTGGGAGGTGCTGTCACATCCTACATGGTGCTGGAGGACCTACTGAAACACTCTAAGGTCACAGCAGAGCTGTATGGTCAAAACAGTCCCTCCCTGAAGCTTTTGCTTCTGCTCTGTGAAAAGGACTTCATACCTGCTGACTTGCTGTAGCCACATCAGCTTCACCACAGCCATTTCTTTGTCTCTGAAAAAAAAAACGCTTTTTGGTGATGAAATACCTGGTCAGCTCCTGTTTACAATCGCCAGGCTGTTGGAAAGATCCCAGTGGGGCTGTACATGGGATAGGGAAGGGACTGGCACTCAGGAAGTGCTAGAAGAAGGCACAGGCGAAAGTGAGGCAAGATGACCCCACAGAAACTACAAGATCCCACATCACAACAGAACACCAGCTGAGCCCAGTGTCTTTCCCTGAGGAGGCTTGGAAGAGTTCTGCATGGACAATGACACCAACAAGTTGTCTCCCTGTTTTCTCTGGCTGTTCACCCCTGGATTCAGGAGAACTTGCCACCAGGACCTTCCTGTTCAAAAGAGAGCGACAGGAAAGCCCTGGACCTCTGTTGGTTGTGATTTCTTTAATGCTCACAGCTGTCTTTGAGTAGATGTGTGACCTCTGCTGTACAGAGGGGAAACTTGGGGGGCGGGGCAGGAAGTGGATCACTTGAAGACAATGCCTTAGGAAGTGCTGAGGTCTGCACTTGAGCCCAGGTCTCTCCAAACCCATCCCCTTTCTTCTTTCTGCTCTGCCTGTGGATGTTCTTAGAGTGATTCATGTTAATGTTGCCCAAGGTCTCCTCAGGTTTCATCAATTAGCCCTGATTTCTTTCCCCAGAGAGGCTGTGATGCCTCTGGCCAGGACCAAGCTCTGAGTGAGTCTTCACTGGCTTCTCTTCTTGATCTCGGAGTACAGGCACGTGCTGGTGGCCTCCCTATCCTGAGGCTCCCTTTTCTTTCTCCCATGAAACCTGAGGTTGGCATACTGGGTATCCTGTTCCTCTCCTTCTGCAGAGGTGTCCCCTGTGGGTGACTCTTGGTCTGAAGGACCATGTGTCCTGGGGTTTTGCTGGGAACCCTGAGTAAAGGGGAGGGGAGAGAAGAGAGAGAAGAAAACAGACATGGCTCCAGGAGAAGTTGGGCTGACTGAACACTTTTTCATTCATCCTGTCCTTCCACACACACTCCTCATGAACTCAACTATTTGCTATTTATTTAAAATCAGAGCCCTGCCTGGTGTGGCTCAGTGAATTGAGCACCAGCATGGGAACCAAAGAGTCACCAGTTTGATCCCCAGTCAGGGCACATACCTGGGTTGCAAGCCAGGTCAGTTCCCTCATAGGGGGTGTGCTAGAGGAGACCACACATTGATGCTTCTCTCCCTTTCTTTCTCCCTCCCTTCCCCTCTGTCTAAATAAATGAATAAAATGATTTTAAAAGATCGGAATTATGATTGATTAGATCTTATTGAGGAATAATAACACATTTCATCCTCAAAGAGACCAAGTGTGAATGATACTTTATTATTTCCATTCCCAGAAAGGGAAAACGAATGGAGGAGAGGTAAGGTAACCAGCCCAGAATGGGTGGAAACTAACCATTTTTGGGGAGATGCTTCTGGCAAGCTGTACCTGGCCAAGAGATGAGGTGGGTTCAGTGGTGAGCAGGGCTAGGGTGAAAGTCTGACCATGGGCTGTGGGAGATGAAGGGGAAGTCACCTCCCACCTGTCTGTCCAGCTGACCACAGAGGAGCTCAGTCTGGACGTGCTCAATGGATATACACAGGGCCTACACCACACCCCACTGCACCTCATGAGAAGACACCCACATCACTCACCCAGGTGGCTGTACTCAGGACAGGGTCTTCATCATTTGTGACCTTTCGTCTCCCGGCTGCTTGCCTCCTGTGGTTTTTCACTCTAAGGGAAGGATTCAGCAGCCACAGTGAGTCAGGCACTGGTGGTCAGGCTGCCCCCACTCCCTGATAAAACAACAGAGGCATCCAGACCCAGAACCACAGCTGGAGACCCTCCATACATACAAGTGAGTGCTCTGTTCCCTGCAACCAGGTGTTTCACCTAGACTAAGTTTTCAAAACTAAAGGCCATCTTACACATAGAAACTTGTACAAAAAACAATCATAACAGTGTCACTCATGATAGCCAAAAACTAACAACAACCCAAATGCCCTTCAATGAATGAATCGAGAAGTAAAATGTGCCCCATCCATGCCACGGGACACTATTTAGAAATAAAAGAATAAAGTAATGGCACATGAACCTTGAAAATGTTATGCTATGTGAAGTAAGTCTGTCACAAAGGACCATGTATTGTATGATTCCATTTAAGCAAAATGTGGAGAATGGGCAAATCTACAGAAACAAAAAGAAGTGACTGGCTGCCTGGGGCTGGGCTGGGATGTTGGTGGAATCACTAATAAGGGATGTGGGCTGTTTTCTCATCTGGATCTAAGAAAGGATTTTCTAAATTACTTGTTGTTCAGTTACAGATGTCCTGCCTGTTTGCCCACTGCCCCCCACTCCCACAGTCAATCCTCCCATTGGGCAGGCCCATGAGTCCTCTATTGATGTTCCTTTCCTTGCCCTTCCCCTTTTTTCCCCGTTATCCCACTCCCCCAACCCCACCTCTGGTCCATTAGTTATTTATTTCCAAGTCTCTGGTTCTATTTTACTCAATTCTTTGTTGCACTAATTAGGTTCCCCTTTCAGGTGAGATCATATGGTATTTGGCTTTCACCACCTGGCTTATTTCACTTAGCCTCATGCATTAAGCATAATGAAAAACTTTTAAAATTTTCATTCATCCTGTTATTCCACACACACTCCTGTGTGTGGGGATTGGATCACAACTCTGATTAAACTAAAAGCCACTGAATTGTACACTTTACAAGAATTTTCTCTCAATAAACCTGTTACCCTGCCTCCCTTGCCAGAGGACCAATCTGTGTGGACTCAGATCTGCCTTTCTGGGACCCTGGGGCCTCTCTCTGTACCCCCCACTACTCAGCTCCCTGCACCTCCCCAGGACATGGACTTACATGCAAAACAAGATGAGACACAAGCACAGGAAGAGTAGGGCCATGACACCAGCACCTCCAAGAGCTGCAGGAACCACTCTCGAAACAGATACTAACTTCCCTGCAGAGAAGAAGGGTGTGAACCCACCCACTCCCACATTCAGAGTCTTGTCTTCCCACCTTCTTGAAGAACCTGCTATTCTGTTCCAAACAAGATTGAGGGCCCCACCCTAGCAACCACTCAGTACCTGGCCACAGCCCCTTTCCCCAGTTCCAAGCACCCTTTGATCCCTTCCTCTCTCCCTCAGTCTATGCCCCCAGCAGGCCCCTGACCTGGCAGCAGCAGGACACTGGCACTCTGGGCCCCGTGGACATTCTCTGCCTGGCAGCTGAGTCTGAGACCCACACTGAGCCCCTCTCAGAGGTTCAGGGAGCTGTTGGCCCAAGACCCAGTGGAGCTGGAAGTGACCATGTAGGAGGAGTTGCTGTGGTTCCCCTCCAGGAACCCCTCCCCTAGTTGCCAGCACAGCAAAGGGGTTGGCTGGGCTCGGGAGGAGCAGCTGCAGTGCAGACTCTCTTTCTCTCAGGAGCAGGAGGGTCCCAGCAGCCTTGGGGGGTCTGTGGGGAGTGAGGAAAAGGATCAGCAGTGCCTCTCCCCACGCAGGACACAGATGTCCTGAGCCCAGGCTTTCCCACACTCACAGACCACAGAGAGGCTGAGATACTTCTGGAGCCCAGTGGGTGCCGAGCTTGGCAAGTGAACTTTCCTTCTTCCCCAGCCCTTATTCGGGGTAGCTCCAGGATCACAGTTCTGGAGATGGGGATAGTGTTCAGGGCTGGGGACCCCTGGAACCAGCTCAGCTGTGCAGGGGGGTTGCTGTAAGACACACAGAGCAGATACAGAGACTCCCCCTCCAGGAGGGGAATTGAGGTGTCTTGCACAATCTTGAGGGCTTTGGGGAGAAAAGTGCAGAGATAGAAGAAAGAGAGAGACCACAGAGAGAGAAGGGTGTGGAACACAGGTATCAGCATCCACCCAAAAAAGAGAGAGAGGGAGGATGATGATTTTCCTCCTTGCCTCTCCTGTATCCGATCCCATTCAGGCTCTGATTCCCACACCCCCGAGCTCCATGATGGCCCCAGCATCGGGTCTTAGCCCCAGAGAGGGAGGTTCTTTCCTACGTGTCACATTTCTGAAGGACATGCCTATGGTGAGGCTCTGTGGGGCATCTGGGACAGAGAGATAAGGTCATGCCTCAGAGGGGAAGAGCAGATGGAAGTCACCCCAAAACAAGGATGGGATGTGGGAAGCGGGAAGGCAGAATTGCTCTCCTTCTGCCCCACTCCCCACCTGCACTCAGATTCATTCACAAGTGTTCTCAGGTAAGCTCAGCCTCCTGCACACACACACACACACACACACACACACACACACGTGCATAGACCACTCCCACTGCCCCTAGGACACCAGCCATCCCTCCAACACTCACAGAAGACGTTAAGCCAGATGGTTCTCTCTGTAGTCACCAAAGACCATAGGTGTTTCACCTGACAGGTGAGGTTAATGCCATGGACCTGAGGCCTCAGAGTGAAGGTGAGCACCGAGGAGTGGAGCTTCCAGTGGTTCAGAGAGACAACAGCAGCCTCCACCCAGGAGACAGCGACAGGTCTTCCCCCTTGGCAGGACCCTGGCAGGCTGCAGGTCAGCTCTGTAGGATGGCTGGACTTCATGGGCTCCACAATAAGGATGTCTGGTTTCTGTGTCAGTTCTGAGGAGGAGAAAGGAAGGTGCTTGGGTCCCACAGGTTGGGAACCTAGAGTATGAACCTGAGAGGGCCACCTGACTCAGGGCCTGAGCTCATCCCGGGTCCTGTGGCTCTTCTGACCACCCTGGGCCCAAGGCCTGGATCAGGAACTATCTCAGTGACCTGTTCTTTTTGTCAGACCATGTCCCATATCTCAGCATCCTCTCCTGGGCCACCACCATACCTGTCACCTGCAATGTCAGCTTCTTATCTCAGTAAGCATATTGTATATTTTTTCCTCTCTCCACTCGGAAGACGTAGGTTCCTGTGTCACTCCTCCTGGTGTCTCTGATGCTCAGGAAAGAGTTGTTGGTCTTGGGGTATGTGAGGAGGAATCTGTCCTGGGTCTCCCTCTTCAGTGGTTTATTTAGGTTGTTTGTGGCCACAGCAGAGACTGTGTTGTCTCCATGCCTGTACCAGTAGGTGTAGAGTTTGCTAGAGGAAGATCAGGAACTCCATGGGTAGGAGAAGGAGCATGGCACATGGATGCACAGACCCTCCTGCACACTAACCAATTTGCTGCACTCCAAGCTCATAGCCTACCTGCTCCTGCAGGGACCCTGTGGGAACACAAAGGCTCAGCTGCAGCCTCTGCCCCTCACCTACCCATCTCCCCACCCTTCTGCCCACTCACCACCCCACAGCAGAGGCAGCAGCAGCAGGGGCACCATGACTGCATCTGGCAGTGCGGAGCAAGCCTAGGTCCCTGTGTCAGGGAGAGAAATGCCAAGCTGTGGGGTAGGGCTGAGGACGCCCAACAGGAAGCTGTGGGTGACAGAGCTATGGCCAAGCCTGAAAGGGGAAGTTAGGCTCCACAGACCATGGGACTTGGATGGAGTCTGAGAAATCAGCTTGTCTCAACCTCAGCCAAATGCCTGATCCTCCCAATATTATACCCAGGCCCCCAGAGGTTGTGAGTCTCATCCAGATGTGAATCTGAAAGTGATCACCTTACAGTTGATGTTCCAGTCAAGAAGGAGGTCACCCAGGGATCATGGCAGTCAGAGCTGCTCCTGGTGACCTGGAGGGTCATCCCTCCTGCTGAAACCACTCAAATTTCTGGAAGAAGATACTTTTAAATTTCCTTTAGACCACCAAGTGCTGGTAGGAGAGGTAGGAATTTAGATCCAAGTCCAGTGGAGGGTGGAACCCTGGGGGAAGCTGAGCATTAAAGCACTTTGTTCTGAGGGTTTGGAGGACATGAGATGCACAAGTGATGGACTTCTAGGCTCTGGGGCCCTGTGGGACAGTGGCAATACACAGGTACCCTCAATATGGGATTTGTGAAGGAAGACCTCACCCCTTTTGTCTGGGACCCCAATTGCTGGTCCTCAGCACAGCACCAAATTTGCCACCTTAATCCTCAGAAAGCTCAATCCTCAAAGACCCTCAAGACTTTGGACCCTTCTCAAAGCCCCACAAGAGCTTCAGGGATGTGTAAAAATAATCTGCAAGCCCATTGCTCTTCTAGGAAAGAAAGAAACTTGATAAACTCTTTCCCAAATATGACAATGATGTGAAGAGTTCTGACACTTCAGTGACAAGTTGTGCGATGAAAAACAAGTTTTTTAAACTGTTACAGGAAGAAAAGAAGTGCCAGTCAATGGTGCTGAGGGAAATACTGAATTCTCTTCCTATTCCCTTTGTAATATAAGTATAACATTATTTAATCATGAATAGTGGTTACTAATATAATATTAATATGTATTACTATATGACAGAATTATTCTCCTATGAAGAAGCAATGAAGCAGCATCTGTCAAAAATGTGGGGGACACATGTGCTTCAGGTGGGCCACACAGGAACGCCACACTACTGATGAAAATATCTCTGATGTCTAGAATTTTCTTATGATATGGTTTTCAGCATTTTAGTTTTTCTTACTTAATGTGAAGGGTTTTCTTATATTAGAAAAATCCATGGCTGCCACATGTTGCTCTTTTTTAAGCAATGATCTCAACATTAGTATGAATACCAGGCTCCTCAGAACCTGGGGCTACTCCTGCCTCAGAGAACAGGTTAACCAGAGGTAACCATCCCCCACCTACCCCAGATTCCTCACATATTGCAAAGAACACTGACTTGTGCAAGCAAAGAACTAAAGGAGATAGGATGTCCATTATTGTTCACCCCACAATTGACAGCACTGAACACTCTAGCAAATCTCAAGGAATGAGTGCGGGCAAGAATGCACAGAAGGGGACACCCTTGCACTGTGCCTGGGACTGTAAGTTTGGGGCAGCTGCTATGGAAATCACTATGTCAATTCCCCAAAAATTAAACATAGAGCTGCCATAACATCCAGTGCTTCCACATCTGCATATTCATTTGGAGAAAGTGAAACACAAAATTGAGATAACCCATGCAGCCCTGTGGTCCTTGCAGCATTATTTATAATAGCCAAGATGTGGGGGCAACCTCAGTGTCCATTGAGAAATGAAGGGATGAAGAAAATGTGCTTTATACACTGTGGAAGGTGTTTGTGTCATACAACAGATGGAAATCCTGCCATTTGCAACATGGATGGACTGTGAGGGCTTTTTACTAATTGAAATAATTAAGAGAAAAAATACATATACTTTCACCTAAGTGAGAAAACATTTTAAAAAGTCAAACTCACACATAGAGAAGACAGACTGGTGATGGCCAGAGGCAGAGGGTGGGGGTGGGTCAAATGGGTGAGGGTGGTCAAAGATGCAAACTTTCAGTTATTCAAAAAATTAAATCATGAGGAGGTAATGTACAGCATGGGATGGTAGTTAATATTACAGGGTATTAATACCATTAACTACAAGAACATCATTAAAAACACCATCTTGTATATTTAAGAATGGCTAAGAGAAAAAAATTTGAAACTTCTCATCACATACAAAAGTGTGTAACTATGTGGTGGTGGATATTTAACAAAACATATTGTGCTGAGCTCATCACAGTAGATGCATCTATCAGATCATTAGGGCTTCATACTGCAGTAGTGTCATATGTCAATCATATCTCAATAACTCACATGTACATACTAAATAACTGAGCCTGGGTACTTGGGTGTGATTAGAAGATCCAAGTCTTCCAGGCAGAGTTACCTACTAGCTCCATGTGTGCTCCCATATCCTCAGAACAGATTCCTCACATTAAATTCCCGCTGCTGAAACCCATACTGGGGTTTCTGTGTTTCTGATCTGCCCTTCACTGATTAACTCTCAAAAAAATAAAACAATGAGCAGTGGGTGACTTGAAGTGCCTTCATGATAAAACTCACAGCCAACTAGGAGTGAAGAGTGATTTCCCTAACAAGATAGAGGGTGTTTTCAGCAAACATCACACCTAATGCAGTAGTATCAGGTCTTAGTCTTTGTCTAGAAAGGCAATAACCATAGGTATAGGCTATGAAAAGTCAAAAGAAAACAAAGCTATTTGGATATATCTAGGTATTAAATGATACCTGATACATCAGGGTATCAAATCGACTGTCATGTATCACATGCTTGTGTTCATGTCACCCTTATAGCAGTCTCATGCTTCATCAACTATGTCATACATCTCCTTGTATCTCATCACAAAAGCATGATGACTTCTCACATTAACACAGGAAGAAGGGTGAGTACACAAAAAGAAGATATTTCAAGGGAGGGAGAGAACACATTCACATAACTTTCATCAAGGTATATTGTTATAAATCTTCTGTTTTATTAGTTACTCTTGTTCATCTCTTATTGTGCCTAATTGACCAATTAATCTTTATCCTAGGTGTGTATAGAAAAAATTATAATATATATGAGATTCAGAATTAACTGTGGTTTCAGGCATGAACTGGGGATCTTGACACATCTCCCACACACATAATGGAGACTAGTGTCCTCACAATCAGAGAGGTTATTATTAGGCATGTACACTCTGGTATTGCTCATGAAAATCTGGCTGTTTTTGTTTAAGTTTTCTTTTGAAAAAATTAAATGAGGGAGAGGACTTCCAGCCAAGATGGAGGCATAGGTAGACACACTGTGCCTCCTTCCACAACCAAAAAAGGTCAGTAACAATTTAGAAACAAGACAACAACCAGATCTGACAAAAATTGAACTGTATGGAAGTTGGACAACCAAGGAGTTAAAATAGACACATTCATCCCGATGGGTAGGAGGGGTGGAGTTGGGCAGCCAGGCGGAAAGGGGTGGAGGCACAAAAGGTGGTGGCACCACATGCTTAATGCATCCCGGGCGCATAAGTCATCCCGAGTGCAAGATTGCAGCGGGTGGACCCTGGGCACACAAACAGCTGGCAGACCAGCGAGGCAGTGACTATGAAGCAAGCCACTGTGCACAAGGCTCCTGGCTGTCTGGACCACATTCACGTGCACATAAACCAGGTGAAATTGGGCAGTGAGACAGACCATGCAACCCAGGGTTCCAGTGCCAAGAAATAGAACCTCGGGACACTGATTGAAAACACCTGTGGGAGTTGAGGTGCATGGAGACACTCCCAGCCTCACAGGAGAATGTGTTGGAGAGACTCACAGGGTCCAAGAACATGCACAAGCCCACCCACATGGGAATTAGCACCACAAAGGCCCAGGTAGCTTGGGGGAAGTAGCAGAGGGGACTGAAATCCAATGGAGAGAGGAGCAAGCACCATTGTTTCATCTAAGACCCCAACCCCACATACAATGTCTCAACCCAACAACTGGGTTGTCCTGCCCTGGAGAACACCTAAGTCTCCACCCCTCACTATGAAACAGGAGCCACCAGACCCTCCCCCGCCCCCCCCAAAAAAAAATGGCTCAAAGAGAAGAAGAAATCAAAGCTCCAGAGCCAATACTTTTAAGTGACTAAGAGATAGCCAACCTATCAGATGCACAGTTCAAAGCACTGGTGCTCAGGATGCTCACAGAATTGGTTGAATTTAGTCACCAATTAGATGAAAAAATGAAGGCTACACTAAGTGAAATGAAGGAAAATACACAGGGAACTAATAGTGATGGGAAAGAAACTGGGACTCAAAACAATAGAGTGGACCAGAAGGAAGAAAGAAATAACCAAACAGAAAAAAAATGGAGAAATAAGACTTCAGAAAAATGAGGAGAGGATTAGGAACCTCCAGGACATCTTTAAATGTTCCAACATCAGAATTATATGGGTACCAGTAGGAGAAGAGGAAGAGCAACAAGTGCAAAACTTATTTGAACAAATAATAAAGGAGAACTTCCCCAATCTGGCAAAGGGAAATAGACTTCCAGGAAGTCCAGGAAGCTCAGAGAGGCCCAAAGAAGTTGGACCCAAGGAGGAACACACTAAGGCACATCATCATTACATTAGCCAAGGTAAAAATGAAGGAGAGAATCCTAGAAGCAGCAAGTGATAAGGGGACAGTTACCTACAAAGGAGTTCCCATCAGACTGTCAGCTGATTTCTCAAAAGAGACCTTGAAGGCAAGAAGGGCCTGGAAAGAAGTATTCCAAGTCACAAACAGCAAGGACCTACATCCAAGATTGCTCTACCCAGCAAAGCTTTCATTTAGAATGGAAGGGAAGGTAAAATGCTTCTCAGATAAGGTCAAGTTAAAGGAGTTCATCATCACCAAGCCCCTATTTTATGAAATATTAAAGGGATTTGTCTAAGAAAAAGAAGTTAAAAAAGCAGTATAGTAAAATGACAGCAAACTCACAATTATTAACAACCACACCTAAAACAAAAACAAACTAAGCAAACAACAAGAACAGGAAGAGAACCAAAGAAATTGAGAGATCACATGCAGAGTTAGCAACAGGGGAGTGGGAGGAGCAGAAAGGGGGAAAAGGTATAGAGAATAAGTAGCATAGATGGCAGGTAGAAAAGAGACGGGGGAGGGTAAGAATAGTATGGGAAATGTAGAAGCTAAAGAACTTATGACACATGGACATGAATGAAAGAGGGGGAATGTGGGTGGGAGAGGGTGTGCAGGGTGAAGGGGAGCAAAGGGAGGCAAATGGGACAACTGTAATACCATAATCAATAAAATATATAAAAATACATAAATAAGAAATAGTTGGCAGAAACATATCTAGACAATAAATAAAATGATGGTAAAAACTGCAAAAAAAAAAAGAAAAATTTCAATGAAACCAACTGTATAGAGGAGGGAGACAATGAGCTCTTTCTTCAGTTCACTCTCTCAATACAAACCTGTGCAAGATCAGCTTTGAAGGACAGGAGGGGTGTGCCAGAGTGAAGCAATGGAGCAGGGCCTCCAGGAAGGGGATCTCAACTACCTGAGACATTTGTAGGAAACACCATAGGTTTAAGGAACAGAGAGCACAGGGAGAAGCTGGGTGAGGAGGTGAATGCTAGGGGAAAAGGTTTGGGATGTGTTGTCTAAGACAAGGGAATCAGGAAAGGGTGTGTGAAGGACAGAGTCAGGGTCAGCTCTCTAGCACACCAGGTTTCACCTTGAAGAACTAATCTGGCCAGGAACTAGGAAGCCTGGGGGTGGCGCTGTCACATCCTACATGGTGCAGGAGGCCCTACCTAAACACTCTAGGGTCACAGCAGGGCTCTATAGTCAAAACAGTCCCTCCGCCAAACTTTTGCTTCTGCTCTGTGAAAAGGACTGCATACCTACTGACTTTACCGTAGCTGCACCAGCTGCATCACAGCCATTTCTTTGTCTTTGAAAAAATCCTTTTTGGTGATGAAATATCTGGTCAGCTCCTGTTTACAATTGCCAGGCTTTTGGAAAGACCCCAGTGGGGCTGTACATGGGATGGGGAAGGGACTGGCACTCAGGAAGTGGAGGAAGAAAGCACAGACGAAAGTGAGGCAAGATGACCCCACAGAAACTACAAGATACCACATCACAAGAGAACACCAGCTAAGTCCAGTGTCTTTCCATAAAGAAGCTTTCAAGAGTTCTGCATGGACAATGACACCAACAAGCTGCTGCCCTGTTTTCTCTGCCTGTTCACCCCTGGATTCAGAAGAATTTCACACCAGGACCTTTCTGTTCAAAAAAGGGAGACAGTCAACCTTGGACCTCTGTTGGTTGTGGTTTCTTTAATGCTTACAGCCACCTTTGACTAGGATGTGTGATCTCTGCTGTACAGTTCTGATCTCTGCTGTACAGTACAGCAGGGGTGTAGAAGTGAATTGCTTGAAGACAATGCCTTTAGGAAGTGCTGAGGTCTGCACTTGAGCCCAAGCCTCTCCAATCCCATCCCCTTTCTTCTTTCTGCTCTCCCTGTGGATGCTCTTATAGTGATTCATGTTAATGTTGCACAAGGTCTCCCCAGGTTTCATCAATTAGTCCTTGACTTCTCTCCCTCAGAGAGGCTGTGATGCCCCTGGCCAGGACCAACCTCTGAGCAAATTCTCAATGGCTGGTCTTCTTGATCTCTGAGTACAGGCAGGTGCTGGTAGCCTCCTTGTCCTGAGGCTCCCTTTTCTTCCTCCCGTGAAACCTGAGGTTGGCATACTGGGTATCCTGCTCCTCTCTCTGTGCAGAGGTGTCCCCTGGGGGTGATTCTTGGTATGAGGGCCCATCTGTTCTGCAGTTTTGCTGGGAACCCTGAGTAAAGGGGAGGGGAGAGAAGAGAGAGAAGAAAACAGACATGGCTCCAGGAGAAGATGGGCTGACTGAACACTTTTTCATTCATCCTGTTCACCCACACACACTCCTCATGAACTCAACTATTTGCTATTTATTTAAAATCAGAGCCCTGCCTGGTGTGGCTCAGTGAATTGAGCACCAGCATGGGAACCAGGGGTCACCAGTTTGACTCCCAGTCAGGGCACATACATGGGTTGCAAGCCAGGTCAGTTCCCTCATAGGGAGTGTGCTAGAGGAGACCACACATTGATACTTCTCTCCCTTTCTTTCTCCCTCCCTTCCCCTCTGTCTAAATAAATAAATAAAATGTTTTTTAAAAATCAGAATCATGATTGATTAGATCTTATTGAGGAATAATAACACATTTCATCCTCAAACAGACCAAGCATTTCCTTCCCAGAAAGACAAAACTGAAGAGAGGAGAGGTGAGGTAACCATCCCAGAATGGGTGGAAACTAACCGTTTTGGGGAGATTGTTCTGTCAGGCTGTACCTGGCCAAGAGGTGAGGTGAGTTTCAGTGGTCAGCAGGGCTAGGATGAAAGGCTGACTATGGGCTCTGGGAGATAAAGGGAAAGTTACCTCCCACCTGTCTGTCCAGCTGACCACAGAGGAGCTCAGTCTGGACGTGCTCAATGGATATACACAGGACCTACACCACACCCCACTGCACCTCATGAGAAGATACCCACATCACTCACCCAGGTGGCTGTACTCAGGACAGGGTCTTCATCATTTGTGACCTTTCGTCTCCCGGCTGCTTGCCTCCTGTGGTTTTTCACTCTAAGGGAAGAATTCAGCAGCCACAGTGAGTCAGGCACTGGTGGTCAGGCTGCCCCCACTCCCTGATAAAACTACAGAGGCATCCAGACCCAGAACCACAGCTGGAGACCCTCCATACATACAAGTGAGTGCTCTGTTCCCTGCAACCAGGTGTTTCACCTAGACTAAATTTTCAAAACTAAAGGCCATCTTACACATAGAAACTTGTACAAAAACAATCATAACAGTGTCACTCATGATAGCCAAAAACTAACAACAACCCAAATGCCCTTCAATGAATGAATCAAGAAGTAAAATGTGCCCCATCCATGCCACGGGACACTATTTAGAAATAAAAGAATAAAGTAATGGCACATGAACCTTGAAAATGTTATGCTATGTGAAGTAAGTCTGTCACAAAGGACCATGTATTGTATGATTCCATTTAAGCAAAATGTGGAGAATGGGCAAATCTACAGAAACAAAAAGAAGTGACTGGCTGCCTGGGGCTGGGCTGGGATGTTGGTGGAATCACTAATAAAGGATGTGGGCTGTTTTCTCATCTGAATCTAAGGAAGGATTTTCTAAATTACTTGTTGTTCAGTTACAGTTGCCCTGCCTGTTTCCCCACTGCCCCCCACTCCCACAGTCAATCCTCCCATTGGTCATGCCCATGATCCTCTATTGATGTTCCTTTCCTTGCCCTTCCCCTTTTTCCCCCATTATCCCACTCCCCCTACCCCACCTCTGGTACATTAGTTATTTATTTCCAAGTCTCTGCTTCTATTTTACTCAATTCTTTGTTGCATAATTAGGTTCCACCCACAGGTGAGATCATATGGTATTTGCCTTCACCACCCAGCTTATTTCACTTAAACTAATGCATTAAGCATAATGAAAAACTTTTAAAATTTTCATTCATCCTGTTATTCCACACACACTCCTGTGTGTGGTGATGGGTGCACAACTCTGATTAAGCTAAAAGCCACTGAATTGTACACTTGACAAGAATTTTCTCTCAATAAAGCTGTTACCCTGCCTGCCTTGCCAGAGGACCAATCTGTGTGGACTCAGATCTGCCTTTCTGGGACTCTGGGTCCTCTCTCTCTACTCCCCACTACTCAGCTCCCTGCACCTCCCCAGGACACAGACTTACACGCAAAACAAGATGAGACACAAGCACAGGAAGAGTAGGGCTGTGACACCAGCACCTCCAAGAGCTGCAGGAACCACTCTCCAAACAGATACCAACTTCCCTGCAGAGAAGAAGGGTGTGAACCCACCCACTCCCACATTCAGAATCTTGTCTTCCCACCCCCTTGAAGAACTTGCTGTTCTGTTCCAAACAAGACTGAGGGTCCCACCCTAGCAATCACTCAGTACCTGGCCACAGCCCCTTTCCCCACTTCCAAGCACCCTTTGATCCCTTCCTTTCTCCCTCACCCTCTACCTCCAGCAGGCCCCTGACCTGGCAGCAGCAGGACACTGGACCTCTGGGCCCCGTGGACATTCTCTGCCTCACAGCTGAGTCCTAGTTCAGCAAGCCCCATGGGGAGGCTCAGGGAGCTGTTGGCCCAGGGCCCCGAGGAGCTATAGGTGACCGTGTAGGAGAAGTTGCTGTGGTTCCCCTCCAGCAACCCCTCCCTCAGCCACCAGTGCACCGAGGGTGTCGGCTTGGCTTGAGAGGAGCAGCTGCAGTGGAGACTCCCATCCTCCCAGGAGCAAGAGGGTCCCAGCAGCTGTGGGGGAACTGTGGGGAGCAAGGAGAAGGGTCAGCAGTGTCTCTGCCCTCCCAGGACACTACAGATATCCCGCGCCCAGACTTCCCCACACTCACAGACCACTGAGAGGCTGAGAGATAGATCTGGGGAGCCCAGCAGGTGTCAAGCTTGGCATGTTAACTTTCCTTCCCCCCCAGCCCCCACACAAGGCAGTTCCAAGATCAAGGCTCTGGAGACAGGGACGGTGTTCAGTGCGGAGGACCCCCAGAACCAGCTCAGCTGTGAAGGGGGGTTGCTGTCAGCCACACAGAGCAGCTGCAGACCCTTACCCTCCATAATGGGAATGGTTGTGTCTTGCGCAGTCTTGAGGGCTTTGGGGAGAAAAGTGCAAAGACAGAAAGAGAGAGACAGGCAGAGAGAGAAAGGTGTGGAACACAGGGCAGGCACCTACCCAAAAAAGTGAGGGAGGGAGGGTGGTGATTTTCTTTCTTGCCTCTCCCATATCTGATCCCATTCACACTCTGATTCCCCCACCCCCGAGCTCCATGGTGGCCCCACCATCAGGTCTTAGCCCCAGAAAGGGAGGTTCTTTCCTACCTGTGACATTTCTGAAGGACATGCCTATGGTGAGGTTCTGTGGAGAAACTGGGACAGAAAGATATGCTCCTGCCTCAGAGGGGAGGAGTGGATGGAAGTCACCTGAACCCAACAAGGGGCAGTGGAAACCAGGAAGGTGGGATTGCTGGCCTCTTGGCTTGTTTCCCACAAACATTCCCCCACCTATATACACCAGTGTTCTCAAATTAGCTCAGCCTGCTGCTCACATTAATGCATGTGCACACACAAGTCCTACTGCTCTCAGGAAACCAGCCATCCCTCCAACACTCACAGAATACATTGAGCCTGATGGTTCTCTCCATAGTCACCCTTGATCTCTGGCATTTCACCTCACAGGTAAGGTTGGTGCCATGGTCCTGGGGCCTCGGGGTGAAGGTGAGCACAGAGGAGTGGAGGTTTTGGTGATTCAGAGAGTCAACAGCAGCTCCCATCCAGGAGAAGGCAAGAGGGCTTCCCCCTTGGCAGAACCCTGGCAGGCTGCAGGTCAGCTGTGTGGAGCGGCCAGACTGCAGAGGTTCCACAGTGAGGATGTCTGGTTGGTCTGTCAGAACAGAGGAGGACACAGGGAGGTGCTTGAGTCCAGGGGATTAGGGACCCAGAGTATGAACCTGAGAAGGACTCCTGACTCTGGACCTGAGCTCTTCCCGTGTCCTGTGTCTCTTCTGACCACCCTGGTACCCATGGCCTGGATCAGGGAGTGTCCCAGTGTCCTGCTCCTGTGGTAAGACCAGGTCCCATGTGTCAGCATGGTCTCCTGGGCCCTTTGGCATACCTGTCACCTGCAATGTCAGCTTCTTATCTTGGTAAGTATATCGTACATTTTTTCCTTTCTCCAGTCGGAAGACGTAGATTCCAGTGTCACTCTTCCTGGCATCTCTGATGATGAGGGAACAGTCATCAGTCTCGGGGTCCATGAGGAAGAATCGGCCCTGGGTCTCCTTCTTCACTTGTTTACGTGAATTTGTGGCCACAGGATGAGGGTAGCCTACGTTGTCCCCACTTCGGTACCAGTAGGTGTAGAGTACGTCGAAGGAAGAACTCCTCGGGTAGGAGAAGGAGCAGGGCACGTAGACCCACAGACCCTCGTGCACCCTCACCAATTCTTGCACTTGGAGCTCATAGCCTTCCTTCTCCTGCAGGGACCCTGGGGTGACACAGAGAATCAGCTGCAGCCACAGCCTTTCCCCATTTTCCCATTCCCCACCCCAGGCCCACTCACCCTCCCACAGCAGGGGCAGCAGCAGAAGCAGGGGCACCATGTCTGCATCTCACTGGCTGAGTGGGGTCATGTTCCTGTGTCAGGGAAGGGAAATGTTCGCTGGGGGGTAGGGCTGAGGACGCCCCAACAGGAAGCCATGGGTGACAGAGCTGTGGCCAGGCCTGAAAGGGGAAGTTGAGCTCCATAGGCCATGGGACTTCAGTGGAGGCTGAGAAATCATCCTGTCTCAAGTGAGACAGGCCATCTGCCTGAACCTTCAAGTGAGGTACCTAGGCCCCCAGAAGCTGAGAGTCTCATCCAGGTGTGAATCTGAAAGTGATCACCTTACAGTTGATGTTTAAGTCAAAAAAAAAGGTCACCCAGGGGTCATGGCAGACAGAGCTGCTCCTGGTGACCTGGGGGGCTCACCCTCATGCTGAAACCACTCAACTTTCTGGAAGAGGATACTCTCAAATTTCCTTTAGACCACCAAGTGCTGGTAGGAGAGGAAGGAATTTAGACTCAAGTCCAGTGGAGGGTAGAACCCTGGGGGAAGCTGAGCATTAAAGCACTTTGTTCTGAGGGTTTGGAGGACATGAGATTCACAAGTGATGGACTTCTAGGCTCTGGGGCCCTATGGGACAGTGATGATGCACAGACATACTAAAGATGGGGTGTGTGATGGGAGACCTCACCCCTTTTGTCTGGGACCCCAATTGCTGGTCCTCAGCACAGCACCAAATTTGCCACCTTAATCCTCAGGAAGCTCGATCTTCAGGGACCCTCAAGACTTTGGTCCCTTCTCAAAGCCCCACAAGGGCTCCAGGGATGTGTGGAAATAACCTGTAAGCCCACTGCTCATCTAGGAAAGAAAGACACTTGATAAACACATTCCCAACTATGACAATGATGTGAAGAGTTCTGACACTCCAGTGACAAGTTGTGTGATGAAAAACAAGTTTCTTAAACTGTTACAGGAGGAAAAGAAGTGCCAATCAATGGTGCTGAGGGAAATACTGAATTCTCTTCCTATTTCTCTTTTTAATATAGGTATAATATTATGTAATCATGAATAGTGATTACTAATACAATATTAATATGTATTACTATATGACAGAATTATTCTCCTATGAAGAAGCAATGAAGCAGCATCTGTCAAAAATGTGGGGGACACGTGTGCTTCAGGTGGGCCACACAGGAACGCCACACTACTGATGAAAATATCTTTGATGTTTTGAATTGTCTTATGATTTGGTTTTCAGCATTTTAGATTTTCTTACTTGATGTGAAGGGTTTTCTCATATTAGAAAAATCCATGGGTGCCACATGTTGCTTTTTTTTAAGCGGTGATCTAAACATTAGTATAAATACCAGGCTCCTTAGTACCTGGGGCTGCCACTGGCTCAGAGAACAGGTAGACCAGAGGTAACCATCCCCCACCTACCCCAGATTCCTCACATATTGCAAAGAACACTGACTTGTGCAAGCAAAGGAACTAAAGGAGGTAGGATTTCCATGGTTGTTCTCCCCACAATTGACAGCACTGAGCACTCTATCAAATCTTAAGGAATGAGTGTGGGCAAGAATGCACAGAAAGGGACACCCTTGCACTGTGCCTGGGACTGTAAGTTTGGGGCAGCTGCTATGGAAATCACTATGTCAATTCCCCAAAAATTAAACATAGAGCTGCCATAAGATCCAGTGCTTCCACAGATGGGTATTCATTTGGAGAAGGAGAAACACAAAATTGAGATAACCCATGCAGCCCTGTGGTCCTTGCAGCATTATTTATAATAGCCAAGATGTGGGGGCAACCTCAGTGTCCATTGAGAAATGAAGGGATGAAGAAAATGTGCTTTATACACTGTGGAAGGTGTTTGTGTCATACAACAGATGGAAATCCTGCCATTTGCAACATGGATGGACTGTGAGGGCTTTTTACTAATTGAAATAATTAAGAGAGAAAAATACATATACTTTCACCTAAGTGAGAAAACATTTTAAAAAGTCAAACTCACACATAGAGAAGACAGACTGGTGATGGCCAGAGGCAGAGGGTGGGGTGGGTCAAATGGGTGAGGGTGGTCAAAGATGCAAACTTTCAGTTATTCAAAAATTAAATCATGAGGAGGTAATGTACAGCATGGGATGGTAGTTAATATTACAGGGTATTAATACCATTAACTACAAGAACATCATTAAAAACACCATCTTGTATATTTAAGAATGGCTAAGAGAAAAAAAATTTGAAACTTCTCATCACATACAAAAGTGTGTAACTATGTGGTGGTGGATATTTAACAAAACATATTGTGCTGAGCTCATCACAGTAGATGCATCTATCAGATCATTAGGGCTTCAGACTGCAGTAGTGTATATGTCAATCATACCTCAATAATGAACATAAATGTACTAAATAACTGAGCCTGGGTACTTGGGTGTGATTAGAAGATCCAAGTCTTCCAGGCAGAGTTCCCTACTAGCTCCATGTGTGCTCTCATATCCTCAGAACAGATTCCTCACATTAAATTCCCGCTGCTGAAACCCATACTGGGGTTTCTGTGTTTCTGATCTGCCCTTCACTGATTAACTCTCAAAAAAATAAAACAATGAGCAGTGGGTGACTTGAAGTGCCTTCATGATAAAACTCACAGCCAACTAGGAGTGAAGAGTGATTTCCCTAACAAGATAGAGGGTGTTTTCAGCAAACATCACACCTAATGCAGTAGTATCAGGTCTTAGTCTTTGTCTAGAACGGTAATAACCATAGGTATAGGCTATTAAAAGTCAAAAGAAACAAAGCTATTTGGATATATCTAGGTATTAAATGATACCTGATACATCAGGGTATCAGATCAACTGTCATGTGTCACATGCTTGTGTTCATGTCACCCTTATAGCAGTCTCATGTTTCATCAACTATGTCATACACCTCCTTGTATCTCATCACAAAAGCATGATGACTTCTCACATTAACACAGGAAGAAGGGTGAGTACACAAAAAGAAGATATTTCAAGGGAGGGAGAGAACACATTCACATAACTTTCATCAAGGTATATTGTTATAAATCTTCTGTTTTATTAGTTACTCTTGTTCATCTCTTATTGTCCCTAATTGACCAATTAATCTTTATCCTAGGTGTGTATAGAAAAAATCATAATATATATGAGATTCAGAATTAACTGTGGTTTCAGGCATGAACTGGGGATCTTGACACATCTCCCCCACATATAATGGAGACTAGTGTCCTCACAATCAGAGAGGTTATTATTAGGCATGTACACTCTGGTATTGCTCATGAAACTCTGGCTGTTTTTGTTTAAGTTTTCTTTTGAAAAAATTAAATGAGGTAGAGGACTTCCAGCCAAGATGGAGGCATAGGTAGACACACTGTGCCTCCTCCCACAACCAAAAAAGGTCAGTAACAATTTAGAAGCAAGACAACAACCAGATATGACCAAAAAAATGAACTGTATGGAAGTTGGACAACCAAGGAGTTAAAATAGACACATTCATCCCGATGGGTAGGAGGGGCGGAGTTGGGCAGCCAGGCGGAAAGGGGTGGAGGCACAAAAGGTGGTGGCACCATATGTTTAATGCATCCCGGGCGCATAAGTCATCCGAGTGCAAGATTGCAGTGGGTGGGCCCTGGGCACACAAGCAGCTGGCAGACCAGCGAGGCAGTGACTATGAAGCAAGCCGCTGTGCGCAAGGCTCCTGGCCGTCTGGACCACATTCACGTGCACATAAACCAGGTGAAATTGGGCAGTGAGACAGACCATGCAACCCAGGGTTCCAGCGCTGAGAAATAGAACCTCGGGACACTGATTGAAAACACCTGTGGGAGTTGAGGTGCATGGAGACACTCCCAGCCTCACAGGAGAATGTGTTGGAGAGATTCACGGGGTCCTAGAACATGCACAAGCCCACCCACATGGGAATTAGCACCACAAAGGCCCAGGTAGCTTGGGGGAAGTAGCAGAGGGGACTGAAATCCAATGGAGAGAGGAGCAAGCACCATTGTTTCATCTAAGACCCCAACCCCACATACAATGTCTCAACCCAGCAACTGGGTTGTCCTGCCCTGGAGAACACCTAAGTCTCCACCCCTCACTATGAAACAGGAGCCACCAGACCCTCCCCCGCCCCCCCAAAAAAATGGCTCAAAGAGAAGAAGAAATCAAAGCTCCAGAGCCAATACTTTTAAGTGACTAAGAGATAGCCAACCTATCAGATGCACAGTTCAAAGCACTGGTGCTCAGGATGCTCACAGAATTGGTTGAATTTAGTCACCAATTAGATGAAAAAATGAAGGCTACACTAAGTGAAATGAAGGGAAATACACAGGGAACTAATAGTGATGGGAAGGAAACTGGGACTCAAAACAATAGAGTGGACCAGAAGGAAGAAAGAAATAACCAAACAGGAAAAAAAATGGAGAAATAAGACTTCAAAAAAATGAAGAGAGGATTAGGAACCTCCAGGACATCTTTAAATGTTCCAACATCAGAATTATATGGGTACCAGTAGGAGAAGAGGAAGAGCAACAAGTGCAAAACTTATTTGAACAAATAATAAAGGAGAACTTCCCCAATCTGGCAAAGGAAATAGACTTCCAGGAAGTCCAGGAAGCTCAGAGAGGCCCAAAGAAGTTGGACCCAAGGAGGAACACACTAAGGCACATCATCATTACATTAGCCAAGGTAAAAATGAAGGAGAGAATCCTAGAAGCAGCAAGTGATAAGGGGACAGTTACCTACAAAGGAGTTCCCATCAGACTGTCAGCTGATTTCTCAAAAGAGACCTTGAAGGCAAGAAGGGCCTGGAAAGAAGTATTCCAAGTCACAAACAGCAAGGACCTACATCCAAGATTGCTCTATCCAGCAAAGCTTTCATTTAGAATGGAAGGGCAGGTAAAGTGCTTCTCAGATAAGGTCAAGTTAAAGGAGTTCATCATCACCAAGCCCCTATTTTATGAAATATTAAAGGGACTTGTCTAAGAAAAAATAAGTTAAAAAACAGTATAGTAAAATGACAGCAAACTCACAATTATTAACAACCACACCTAAAACAAAAACAAACTAAGCAAACAACT